TTGGACTAAACGATAAAATTTCGAAAATGTTAGCTTGGAATTAAAAAATCAATTTTACGTAGGATTTACTTAAAGACTTTTTTTTACAGATTTCTTGCAAAAATATAATACAATGTTGCACACATTGCATAACACAAGATGTCTAGCTACTATTATTTATATATTATATTTTCTCTTAATATTGTAGAAACGTCGGCTTGTAATTATATAAAATTTTTGTAAACGTGTATTGCAAGAAAATTTTATCCTTGTTACACATCATGTATCAAAATTACTCGATAATCTTTCTTTGTGTATCATTTGTGTTTTATTTAACACTAGCAGTAGTCAACACAATATGCAAGTTTTTAAAAATTACAATTTCAAAATATATGTTTATAATATTAACGATAGTGAGATACCTAAACTAGTTTTGGAATATTATAACACTTTATTCATTAAAATATATACGACATGATAATTTTTGTATCGAGAATTTGGTATCTATGTGTCGAAAATTTTAAATAATGTTTATTAATAAGCAAAAGATTTATGTGTATGTATACATACGTTTGTGTAAGCGTAAGAAATGTAAAAAGTTATATATTGATTACAAATGCGGTATGTTATACTCTTATACATATAAGCAGAATGTTATATGATATTTTGTACTCGTATGTAAGCAGAAAAATTATAAGATTAAACGAGATAATATTTTTTGGGATACTACATTAAGATGACATTGAAAGAGCGATATATGAAATCATTATTTAGTGTAAAAAATATATACTTTGTTTTAATAGACTTATATGTATACAAGTTGTATTCGCAATATCTAACAATTCGATAGTTGCCGAAAGAACAAGATGTACCAAATCGTTGGTAAAATTTAATGAATATCGCGTATCTTTCTTTTAATTCTCGCGCGCGCATACGTATTAATTTAAAAATATACCATATAAACAGTCCAAATAAAATTACAGACCATGCATATGTCAGTCGATATTCTAAAAAAACTATGATATATTTGTTTAGCAATGTCATTTAGATTTCCTAATATTTAATGATAACGTCATGAGAAGGCAATCAAGATTTAAATTCTTGCAAGAGCGAATCCCACTCGGTTGTTCCCCATGTCAAACTCGGTGTAGTATCGACCAATAAATACCTCGCCCAAAATCCAATCTAAACCATCCAACTGAGTAACAGCTTGGAAGCCGGGAATGCAATTACCTCCTAATTCAGCGCCGAGCTATGAGACATTAAATATGGCATGACATTTCTATTCTATAAAAACAATTTAAACCTTTATATGATAATATTCTTTACCTTCAAGATATAATCTTGACCAGTGAGTCGAAACGTCTTACCTCCTATGACGAAATTGATATCGGGCAAATTAGAAATCTCGTTGCAGTCCACCTTTAAACGAAGGTCAATGTTAGTAATCCATGTTAATAATTCGTAACATATCAAACATTTATTAATTTATTTCAATAATTTATTTAAGGTAGTTGAAAACTGCCATTGACGAAAAGGATCTATTATTTACTGTTCCATTATTAACACCGATCTCTCTCTGAATATATGCTATAGTCCGCGTTGGTCCAGTTATGAAAGAAGTGCCCGTGTCGACAACAGCTTGACAGCCTTCCGAGCAAAAGGTGTAATTTCTTACTTTAATCCTACAGTGAGATAGCATTACCAATTAGCTGACATATAATCCGTGGTTGACATACGTATAATTTAGAAAAGAAACTACATACATATCCATTTTAAATTGCCAGTATGCTTTGTGAGTAAGATTAACATACGTACCGTAAACTCGCCCTCGTAATGGGAAGAATCGATGCCACCCAATATCAGTTCACCGCCAAACACGTCCGTGAAATTTCTGTATAAGTTGTATATTTTTTACATTTGCATTTTACATTGCATGGAAAGACAAAGTATGTAATTAAAAAAATAGTATTAAACACACGTGAGGCATACGAAAAGATACATACCGATTTAGATAGAAGCTAAAAATTGGTCGGGACACCACATGTTTATCAATCATGTTTTGGAAGACAGAAGGTTTATTAAAGTGAGATAAAGCTGGATAACCCAACCCCGGAACGCCGTCGCATTGTGCAGAGTCCCAAAAACTTGTGTCGAGAAATCGAGCGCTTCTCCGAATGTCTAGAATGAAACTTTAAGGCCCTTTTCGCAACCTGCGAAACGTTGATATTATTAATGAAGTATAATTGCGCGCATTTTTTTCGGAGAATGATAGCAACATGTGCTTTTTAGAAAATTTTCATAGATTATGACTGTGATTAGAATTAAATATATATTATTTACTTGACGATGACTTACGATTACGTCATCATTAGATAAGTTTCCGTACACTGTGTTACTTTGGTAAGAAACATTAAACGTAACTCCTTCTGGCACGTATGTGGTGGACTGTGTATTATCATATTTATTATGTTTTGCTGCAAAAAAAAGTAAATAAAATTAAATCAGTTAATATTGAAAAATCTAGAAATATAAATTTTTCTATTTTAATCTAAATATATAACTAACAGTAGTTAAATCATTAAATATATATAGTTAAATTATTAAATATATTTATGTTTATATTTTTTGGTTCAACATGCAAGCTGTTTTGTATAAAAAATTATTCGTATCTTTAAAGTAAGTGTGATAAATAATGTAAATAAGAAAGTATGTAAGTATGGAAATTAGCTACATAATATTTACTTTACCACTGATTCGAATCTTTGAAACTGTTGCTTTAAAGATTTTATAACTTTATTTGAAATGTAAATGGAATAGATACAATTCTACAGCATTATTCTTTTTTATATTTTTACTTTATATCAATCATTAAACGGGAAAAAAATTATTAAGATTATTTTAATGCTTGAAACATTAATTTTTTTAATACAAATGTACTAGTATATATGAATAATAGAATGTCGGTGAGATAGCGATGTTATGATATACTTACTGCAAGCAAGTTGGTTAACGTTACAGTCTTTGGACGGTACCCAGAGATCTGAGGAACCAGTGTCGAAAAATATATTAAACTTCTGCGGTGGAGTTCCAATTTTGATAGGACCGTAATTAAATATTTAGAAAATTAATCAGAGATATCTTTGCCGTATCTCTGTTTGAACGGAGTCGAGCCATAGTTTCCGTCAAAAATTTTCCATCGGAGGATGTCTTGTATAACGGAATTCTTGAAGCAACATAAAAAAAATTCCGTTATATTATATTTGTATCGTATAAACGCGAATGTATGTGTACATATATCGTACAACATAAATACAAATTTCAAACAATTAATTTGATCATTTTCAAGCAATTCTTATTTAAAAACTATATATTAAAACGTCAACATTTTGGCATTGAGAAATAAATGCTACCTGCATAAATTTACGCCTTAGAATGTAGTTAGGTATTTTAAATGCGAATTCCTCTTTTCATGATGCTAATCTCATTTAAAATAAGATTTTCGAAGGAAATCCTCAAAGCTCTCTTGTAATTAGTTTGCTCACTTTATTCCGACTTTCAAAATGCGTTTTTCTTACAGATTTGATACAATTATGGTATTTGAAATTGATTTGATAATTATTTATCGCGAATTCTGCGGCAATTCAAAATAGTTGGAAGCACGATCTCTGTACGGTATTATAATTCATCGTGTCGATATAAATGTGGATCGTTTGTATATAACATGTACTCACCTATGCAACTCCGCGTTGATTGACGCAAAGTTGATTACCGTGATTACTGTCACAAAGAGCCGATACATTTTCCTGAATTTCTCTCGACGACTGAAGTTACAAAAGTCAAAATTGTTTTAGGATCGTTATAACTGCGAGTCAATCCACAACCGGTACGTACAGACAAAGAACAGGCAGTCTAATTGCTAAGCGTTCCCTTATATACAAATATGCGTACATGTCCTTATTGTTTATAAGAAGGTGAGGGCAGGAGGGCAGAAAAACAAGCGAAGCGTTCCAAAGCTTTGTGTTCGAACGATATTAGAAATCGCTTCGAGATCTCGGATGGAGAAAAAGAATTGACCAATCATATTTAAGCAATTCGACAATTGGCCAATGCGATTGGTTAATTTTTGGAGCGATTTCTAGCATCATGGACACAAAGATTAAATGCTTTAAAGTTTATATAAATTCTCTGAGAGCCTAAGAGCTCTTTCCATTAATCCAATCGACTCTAAAAATTGCGTTCTGCATATACGTAAATAATTTATTAGCACAACTCCATGTATCGAAAAAAGTTTAATGATTAATGAGATGAAACTGATCTTTGAAAGTATGTATTGTTTGCGTCGGTATAAGAGACTTATATGTACTTATATGTACTTATATGTACATACACTGAGAAAGAAATTTGTTAATCCTAAAAAATATTTAGTCCGATACGTTCAACTAAACATTTCAGTTAGTTAACTAAACATTAGTTGAATTAATTAATTCTTGATTAAAGAACATTTAGCTGAACGTATCGGACTAAATATTTTTTGGAATTAACAGTTTTTTTTCTCAGTGTATAAGCAATGGTACATTCACATTCCGGATTTAGCTTGAATGCTAATATGCTAAATCGTGGCAAACTGTATCAATTGCATTTTAGTATTAAGTACTGTATCGTAACAAAATGCTCGTAGCATTCTGACAAACTATCCAAAACATCCTTAAACCATCAAATGTATTTATGTTTATATTTGTTGCCTTAAGACGTGAGCTGATTTGTGTCGAAAATTATTTGTATTTTTAAAGTAAATGTGATAAATCATATAAATAAGAGAGTTTATAATTGTAGAACTTAGCTATATAATATTAATTTACTTTCCTACTGACTTTAACCTTTGAAACTGTTGCTTTAAAGTTTTTATGATTTTACTTAAAATGTAAATAAAAAAGACACAATTCTACAGTATTATTTTTATCTTATATTTTTACTTGATATCAATCATTAAAAGAAAAAAGAATAATTAAGATTATTTTAACACATGAAACAATATAATGTTTTTTTTTAAATAAATGTACACTCTACCGGCAGGAATGCCTGGACATAATACATATACATATACATGTACATATATGTCATATACATATCAAAATGTCCAGGCATTCCTGCCGGTCAGTGTACATATAGAAATAAATATTAGAGAGATAGCGATGATACACACTTACAGCAATTAGGAAGCCTAACGTTGCAGTTTTTAGATGGTACCCAGAGATCTGAGGAACCAGTATCGAAAAGTATTTTAAATGTCTGCGGTGGAGTTCCAATTTCGATATAGTACGATAATATTATATATTGTCATAATATTAATCAGAGGTAAAGTACCCAAACGGATCAGTCTCATATTATTGTCCGTCGAAGATTTTCCAACGGTGTATGTCCTGTATAACGGAATCCTT